AGGAAAATGATTTAACAACCACTTCCCACTCAGAGGACTGAATTACATGAGGCAGCATCCTGGAGTTCGCCAGCCAGTTCGTAGAGTGAGAGCACCACCCCGAGCTCTGTTTTAAACCAAAAGAAATGGCACAGAACAGTGACAGGAGCCCCTTCTCCCCCTGCACCGACACCAATCAAAATCAGGCCCCCTCAGTGCTGTTGAAAGGAGTTCCCCAATAGGAACTCACTCTACAAAATGGTGGGGTGAACTCGAGGATGCTCTCTCGTCTAGTTTTCGCCCTGCGGCTTAACTTGTAAGGACCTGAGACGAGCAGAAACCTAAGGAACAGCATTTCTGGAGTGTGTGTTTTAACACTTTTATTTTAAAACAGATTTTGAAATGTTCTCTCAAAGGCATCTTAGCATCCATGACCATCTGGGGTCGTTTTTTCATCCCTTTTGTCAGGTCCATGACTGTAAGTCTAGAAATAATAGCAAGGGGATCATTAACTTTGTTAACCCTTCTGCGTACTTGTAGGAAAGAAAAAGGACGACGATGCAGAAATCCTCACAATCTGCTCAGGCTTTCTTTTCCACTAGAGTTTTAAAATATAATCCTTTTAGGAGAGGCATTGTGGTTTTCTTTCTCTCAGCCACTGATAAGAAAGGTGTGTTTACGAAGGCCATTTTGTCCAGCTGATTTTAAAAGCTGGTCTCTTTCATTTCATTTCCATGTTTTGCTCTAAGAGAAAACTAGATCCGAAAGTTGTTCTTTCCTGGGAACTGAAGCCTGGAACTGAAGGTTAGCAGGTTTTGTCCAGCAGAAGAACTGTTTGTTCGAAACATTCACTATAATTGCTTTATCAGTAGAATTATTGTTAAGACAGGTGCATACAGGTGAATTGCAAATCATTACCCATCAGTGACGCCACATGAAATGGTTAAAGGTGCAGTCATATCTAGATTTTAAGCCAGATAAGTGGGAAGAAGAGTTAAGAATGAGGAGTTAAGCAATTGTGTGGCTGCGTAAAGTGCTGGCGCATGGCAACTCCCTTGGGTTTTTAAGGCACGAGATGTTCAGAGTTGGTATTCCTTGGTGGTCTCCTATCCAAATACAGACCAGGGCCTGCCCTGCTTCCAAGATCTGACAAGATCCGGCTAGCCTGGGCGGCCGCCCAGGTCAGGCCAGATGAGCAATTGCAGCCACTTATAAATCATATAAGGGGAGGCGAATGGTTTTACCCCGTCCCTTTTCCCTTGATCTGCAAACTGTACCAAGTGATGATGGTGAAAAGAAGAAGAGAATAGATTGGATTTATACCCCGCCCTTCACTTGGAGTCTCAGAGCGGCTTACAAACTCCTTTCCCTTCCCTTCCCCACAACAGACACCCTGTGAGGTGGGTGGGGCTGAGAGAACTCTTGACACAAACTGCTCTCTTTCAAGGACAGCTGTGCCAGAGCTTTTGACTGACCCAAGGTCATATCAGCAGGTGCAAGTGGAGGAGTGGGGAATCAAACCCGGTTCTCCCAGATTAGAGTCTGCACACTTAACCTGTTTGGTTTCTGAGGATTAGGTAGCTCTGGGAAGCACCAAAAAAGATTAGGATGGGTGCTTTTTGTCTTCTCAGTGGAAATATGCCCCAAAGCCCTCAGGCATCCCAAGAAGCATTGTTATAAAGCTACATTCAAGATGTAGCCAAAAAAGAGCCTCTTTCTACTCAAAAGCAGAGTGTGAGCCCTGTAGTACCTTAAGGTAAAGGTTCCCTTGCTCGAAAGCCAGTCAAATCCGACTCTAGGGTTGCGGTGCTCATCTCCGTTTCAAAGTCAAAGAGCCAGAGCTGTCCGAAGACATTTCCGTGGTCATGTGGCCGGCATGACTAAACACCAAGGCGCAGGGAACGCTGTTCCCTTCCCACTGAAGTGGTACCCATTTATCTACTTGCAATTTGTTGCTTTCGAACTGCTAGGTTGGCAGGAGCTGGAACTAGAGACAGGAGCTCACTCCGTCATGCGGAACACTCTGGTCTCGAACTGCTGAACTACCGACCTTCCACAGCCTGCAGTTCAGCGTCTTAACCACTTGAGCCACCGCAGCTGTAGTACCTTACTCAGAGGCAAATGGTATAGGACTAGATGAGTCTTCTGGGTAAACAGTGGCTTTGTGGAGCTGTTTCAGGTTGAGGAAAAAGTTGCAATCTGAACGGGCCCCAAGTGAACACATGAAGCTGCCTTATACTGAATCAGTCCCTTGGTCCCTCAAGGTCAATATCGTCTTACTCAGACTGGCAGCAGCTCTCTACAATCTTGTGCAGAGGTCTTTCACATCACCTACTGCCAGATGAATTCAAGCTGGGACCTTCTGCATGCTCTGCCACTGAGTTTAAAAGAGGGGGAAATGCCGGGAGCTCCATTCATGGAGCTACCCAAGTTTGGCACAAAGGAAGGCTTCTTGGAGTACTTTGTGAGTGCCCACACGCATCCAGTAGCCCACCATTTTCCTGAAGGCTCATGCTGGAATGGAGGAAGCGGCAGTAAAGAGCTGGGGGCTTCTCACGTTACCCCAGCAACACAGGAAGGAGTTGCACTGTTGCCTATCATATGCTGCTGAGGCAACTCAGGAACCGACTAAGGGACTACACAGTGATCTTTGTGGAAGATGAATAACTGGCTCTTTTATAATTTTTCATAAGATTGTAGGGATTCCAGTTCAGTCCAAGCAGCAGTGTGGCTGTTTGGCCTGTGTGTTTTTCCCCCGTCACATGGCAAACACCAGCTGCAGGAGAGGCAATTTTGGTCAGAAACAACATTTATTTAGTCCTTTTTTATCCCAGTCTCGCCTGCAAGGAACTCAGGGTGGTATTCATGGTTCTCCCTTCCTCCATTTTCTCCTCACCCTCTGAGGTGAGTCCAAGAGAGAATGCCAAACCCACGGTCACCTAGTATGTTTCAGGACAAGCGAGGCTCTCCACCCATTCCCAGGCTGTCATTGGACAATTCTGCATCTAGTATTCGCTCCTTGTTTTCTCAACTGGGAGGAAAAGGTGCAGCTCAAATCCACATTCAGATATCTCAGGGCAACACTGTACTGACTACAAAGTCACCCCTGAATGGCCATAAATCTGTGCAGAAGGTACCATAAAACCCAATGATCAAAGAAAATGAAAGCAGTATGCAGTGTAGCGGGTAACATAAAATCCAGTGATCAAAGAAAGTGACAGCAGCATGCAAGGCAGGGGGGAATTTCTGTTCCAACGTGGGTTTGCTAAAACAGTGGAGGGGAAAGCCAGTGCAGAATCACCCATGCTAACCCTCACACCAGAATGACGCAGCAGCACTCGCACATCCAGAACTGCTACTCTAGTCAGACTAGTTGCTCCCCCCTATACACACTAAACATCATTTTAAAAATAATAAAACTCTGAGACATCCAGCAGCAAATCTTCCGCATGATGTGTGCTCAGCTTCTCTCCTCCCTTCCTTGACTTTGCACTTGGAACCGATTTGAACTTCGAGCACAAAAGCTTGATGGCTGGCCCCCTTTGAATGAAAGGCATCTGAAAGGTGTGGCACAGGCCGTTTAATCCTTTTAGAGAAGCAACACCTTTCTATTATATTTATTTAAAGGGCCATTTGTTTGTGTCCATTTCGTAATTGATTCTCCCACTCCCTTTCTTCTGGTATTTTGTTGAGTCCACCTTATGTAAGCTTGCTTTTAGGCGTACCTGTGAAGTTAGCCCTTCCATTAAAAGAAAAAAAAACAAGGCCTTAGACATTCACAGGGATTTTCAAGGTCATGGGTGCATGCAGTTCCATCCCTTATATGGCATGCAGTTTGGGGGGCAGAGAGGCGGTAGAGGGGATAGCTATAGAAAGGGAGACAACCCTTGGGAAATTTCTCCACAACCCAAATCTCACTTGCAGGATACCATAACCACTAGAGACTGGAGCCCACTCTAATGGTAAAGCATGCATTGTTTTCAGTGCTCTGTGATCTCGGTGACTTCCACACAGGGACAGATGTGTGTGGTTTCACCATTACCGGTGCAGCTGCCAGTGCAGTGCAAGAGCAAGGGAGTTTCCATATGACAGGTTGCCCTGCAGTTTCCCTGGCCCCGCCCCACAGCACAGCCTTTCCCCCTTCCCAGTGGTCCACCAGGGCACTTTTATTTTTTTCAAAAAATAGGCAGTTGAATATTATTATGTTGATATCATGTTTGCTAAATTCCCAGCTTCCACTTTTTGAAAAGGAAGTCTTTTCTAGCCCCTTTGTTGTGAAGATATGCCTTTCCCTTGTATCTCCACAGCAAACGGGGATAGAGATTTACTTTAGACAAACAAACTTTAAACAAACAAAAATAGTAGTATACATATTGTTACAGTGTTATACTGATATGACGGTATTCAATTGCCGATTTTTTTTAAAAGCCCCTAGTGGCAGGTGGAGGAAATGGCTGCCGTGCTGGCCACAGGTACAGGGTCAGAGAAAATGGCTGCCTTGTGGGTCTCTCTCCCCCCCCCCCTTGGAATGCAATACATAAATGGAGGATAATTTTGCTCTGGCTTAATTGGTGATGCAGTTCTAGGCCTGATCTGTCGTGTTCACAAGGCTCCACACTGTCATAGTGCCTTCCTCGTAAACTTATTTCTTAAACACATTTTAACCTGTCCTTTCTCCTGGGACCTCATGGCAACACACAACGGTCTCCATTCCACCATTTTACTCTGATAACAATTCTGTGAAGTGCATTAATGAGAGAGAGTAACTGGCCCAAGGTCACCCAGCAAGCTTCCATGCCAAAGTAGAGAAACAAACCTGAATGTTCCAGATCCTAGTCCACTTTCATCACCACATCAGTCTTAAGTCAGCATTACTGAAGCGTTTTAAGAAACTAATGTCTTATACTTTTGCTCCAAATCGTTAACCTTGTACAGACCATTATTGAAAGGGGTGGCGAATAATAATAATAATAATAATACCATTAAAATGTTCCTTCCCTCCCCACCCCATTGTTCTTCAGTTACCCATTGTACTTCAAGCCGGATGTGGTGGTCTGGTGCTTGCATGCAATGCCATAATGTGGACTTTCTTTGCCAAAGCCTTGAAATACTCCTCCTCTTCAGCAACAGCAACTGTGACATCAACCGCATCCAACTTCGTCTCTTCTGTAAGTACAAGTGACATCATAGGGCCTGCTCATGATCAGCCAGAACATGCGCCAACCACATGCAGGTCGATCCAAACTATGATGCATGCACATCTTCTGCTTTTCACTGAAGTAAAGTCGGTCAGGCTTTAACTCCAAATGCTGTGCCTGCACTCTGCACCTTTTTCTGTCTTCGATTTTTCTCTTAGGAATTGTAGAGTATATATTCTGCATACCAATGAGAAAACCCAGATAGTGTCGTGGTGCTGAAATTTCCTTCTTCTTTTTTGTGGCGTTGTTGGTCTCTCCTTATTGGTCACGTTTTTTGAAATAGGAGAGTCTTCAAACTGCATTTATTCTAGGGTAGCCATCTTAGCAGAATGTTAGTCGGTCTCCCTCCTTCATCAGTGTACAAGCTCCACTATTGCTTAGGTTTTCCATCTTTTAAATTTAGGGGTTTTTTTATAAGTGTGTTCAGTCTAGCGATATGAGTTTAATGTTAATCTTGGATCACTGGCAAAAAAAATCATTGGCAAGGAATGCTTTAAAAGTTTGGCTAGAGGTAGCATGTGTGTGTGCAGATAGACGTTTTAAAAGATGTGTGCCCTCAGGAGGAGATGCTGAACACGTGGCCATAGAGGCAGTGGCGGGCGAGATGGGAGGGAAGGGAGTGAACGAGCAGCCAGGTGTGCAATGTGCCGGTGGTGCCCACTCGCCCAGCATGGGAATACCACCCAAGCCTGTCCCCCTTGCCAGCCCCGCGGAGGGACTCTAGCGACTTGGTAGTTGCCTGCCATTGGGCCAGGCTCCCACTTGGCACTGGGGGCTGGGCAGCAGGGGGGGCTTTCCAGAGCCACTGCGGGCAGGTGGGTTCACTAGCAGAGCAGGAGGAGACTCGGAACCTGCCTCCTGGCCTCCAGTGCCAAGTGGGAGCCTGGCCCGATGGGCTGAGAATGGGAAAACTGGCACAAAACCACTCTCAGAAAACCCAGGGAAACAGCAACTGGAAAGTGAACTGAGCATTCAGTGGACAAAAATCAATGCAGAAGGGGGGGGCACACACCCCTGATGGCCATGCACACGGAAAGCAAAGGGAAATGCAGAACGACAAAGAAAACCTGACGGACATACACGGTGAAAGCGAGGGGAGACATCCCTGCATAAAAGGCCTAAATTTTCCATGGGCAGAATGGCACTTTCCTGTCCCTTCCCCCACTGCAGTCCACTGATCTCGGAAAAATGCTGCTCGTGGGGGATACGGGACCCTGAAGAGTAACATGCGGGTGGTCTGCCGATGACAATCGCCAACTTAGTCAGGATCCAGCCCAAAGTGTCTAAATTTTTTGAAAGAAAACAGAAATTTTAAAATCCCTCTTTTTATTAAGTTCATTTAGTATTCCAACTAGTTCAGGACTTGGTGGTTTAGAAGGATGTCAGCGCGAACAGGGCTTGTTGATAGTTGGTTTTAACAGTAGTCGTGTTGTACTCTGTTATTTTAAATAACTAAATAATTTGTTCTTCAAGAGCATAATAAGTGTTTCGGATTTCTAGATTCTGGAATAAAACATTTAGATAGAAGCATTAAATGTTTTGGGTCAATTTATGAGGGCTGTGAAAATTCCTAAGTTCCAGAATCAAGAGAGCTTTCCCCAGCTTTATTCCCTTTAAAGTAAGCCAATCTTTTAGCTGTCAAAAAGCATCCAAGTATGAGAAAAATATATTATCCGGGCCTGAAGGGCCCATTTGTTTTGGTTTACAACGAATGCCGTGCATGGTTGGAAATCCCAGATTAAAGGGGTTTAAGTGACCAGAGGGCTAATCAAAATTTATTATACCAGCTCATGCAAGCTGGAAATAAGAGTCTGTGTTTTAGCCTATGATGCCACTACCAGTTTTTCCTTTTTCTTTCAGGCTGTTCTTGGTTATTTGCTGTTTGGGGAGACTCATGCCCTATTATGGTGGGTAGGGATATCCATTACACTCTTTGGCCTTCTGCTTCTGCACACGGCCCCAGCTACATCAGAAGAACAAAGGCATCCAAAAGAAAAGAAAATATAAAAACGTAAAAGGTACCGTCTGGGACCAGACCAGTGGTCCATTCTGTCCAGCACACAGGACCCAACCTGTTGCCCTGGACAGCCAACGAACAGAGCATGGAGCCAAGGTTTTCCCCTCATGTTGCCTCCTAAGGAGGTTTACTGCCTCTGGATGTAGCTGTTCCCTTTGATCTTCTTGGCTAGTAGCCATTGAGGGACCTCTCATCTGTCTAATTCCCTTTCTAATCCATCTGTACCAGCAGCCATCACTACATGCACCAACATGGAATTCCACAGTTTAGTTACTTGTTGAGTGAAGAAGTATTTCCTCCAAAAAAAGCCTCAAAGGACTTTCTGTTCATGTCACGAACAGGGAATCACACCAGAACAAAAGCAAGACTTCTGGCTTTCTCTAGCAATGGTTTCTCTAGTTTTGTTTACATAGACGGATTTACTGCTGATATTACATTACTGAGTGCTGCAAAGGCCAAGTCATGGTTGTGGCAAACTCCAGTGCATCAAACCGTGAAGAAAGAGGGCTGTTGAGAAGGGTTGTTGTCAGTTGTCAGGTATGCTTTGGAGGGTTTGGTAAGTAATGAGATTTAAGACAGAACTAGAAAGTGAGCTTTGCGAGACTCACTGGACCAAATGTTCTTTATAATGAGATTTAAGACAGAACTGGAAAGTGAATATGACTTGGAGCATTGCGAGACTCACTGGACCAAATGTTCTTTCTCAGTTTAATACCCAACTACATCTTGCAGAATCTTTTGGCTGGGCTACTGATTTCAAGTTTTTAAGAGACACACAACTACTTCTGCACATATGAGCTCTTCATGATTGACAGTGTATTGTGTGTATTTTGCACTCAAGAGATATGTACCTGGTGCATGGCCTGGTATCGTTCCTTCTGTTCCAGTGCACTGCATTACAGATTCAAAGAAATGAACCCTCCTTGAAACAATATGAATGATGGTTAGATGCTTCTGGGAACACTGGTATAGTCATGCAGTGCCTGTTAACCTGCCTTTATATCTGACTGAGTTCAAGACCTTTGCCTGTTCAAATCTGTGCATTAAAGCCTAATTATCTGTCAGAGTAAAGACAGTGGTAGGCAATGCTCCCACTAAGCTCTGGAGTCTTGTGAGCAAAATTTCTACTTTGTGAGCTCTTGGTATTAAAGTTGTGAACGAGCGATTTAGCTGCTGCATAAATTTGTTGGCTCTGGAGCCACCCTTCCTGAGCTGAGACAAGAATGTGTGAGCTGGAGGCTAAAACACTGTGAGCTAACTCACACTAACTCATCTTAGAGGGAACACTGGTGGTAGGCCTGGGTTGAAACCCATTTTCCATCACTGAGTAACTGATGTGGGGTGGGGTGGGGGCTTGAAAAGGTCATTCTTTCTTAGTTTGCTGTCTGTGAAATGGGAACAGAAAGACCTGCTTCTCAGAATGAGATGAGGAGGTGTTAAATTATTACCTGCTGCAAATGTAAAGCAGTGAGGATTGCAAAGCAGGGATTCTGGGAGCAGAACCAACATGCCATAGTTTTTGTACTACCATGACAGGTGATAGGCAGTAGTAGAGCATCTTCTTTGCATACTGAAGGTCAATCCCTGGCATCTCTGGTTAAAAAGAACAGGTAGTAGATGATGTGAAAGACCTCCCCCTGAAACCCAGTCAGAGCAGACAGTATTGACCTTGGAACGATCAGAAAGCAACATCTGTCTGTTGTGCCTCAGTCATCAGTGTCCCATTCTCCCCCCCCCCTTTACTGCATGTTTCTTTGATACCTGTGAAAGTCTATTCCTTTTGGGCTGAGCTAGTTTCAAAACAGATTTCCTGTTGTTTGATTGCTCTGTTGGACACCTGAGCTATCAGGCAGGTCTTTTTTTAAAAAAAAATTTATTATGAAGAGTAAAACAGCATAACAACATATTCAAACACGTCAAATTCAAATACAGCAAATAAAAAACCGATGAAAGGCTTATAAATCACAGCCAACCCCAAACAGTCTGCGTAACAATAAACCTTAATCTCCATCTTTCATTTTGTATGCTGGATGCGACAATGGATCGATTAAAGACATTTTCTCAGATGGTGTTTGAGCTAAAGTGTTGTGTCCTGTGGACTTGACCAGAGATAGAACTTAAAAACGAATCCAGGGGGCATAAGCCACCTTAGACGGGATTATATCATTTTCTGACATATATTGTACTCTAAACCACACTGCAACAAATCGCGCAGGCAGGTCTGACTGGTCTCTTGCTTTCCAGCCACCATTTTTTTTACTAGTTAGTTATGAACACATAACTGCTTATTCACACCTCCCCCCCCAACAGGGGCTTCTCAAAACTGTGTTTTATTTATAAAATCTTTCAAAGAAAAGTGCCTCTGTACTTCAGCTTTTTTCTGTGCTTCAGGGAAGGGGTTAAGTGAAAAGATTAGAGAGGGAGGATGGCAGTGAACTACATATCCCAGCAGGCTCATCAGCACTTGTGCGCATGCTCAAAGGACAAACGTTTTTTTAAATGGCCGACAACCTCATGAACTACATATTCCAGCAGGCGCATCAGGAAAAACAAATGCTCAAACAAATATGTCTGACAGCCTCACTCCCTGGCTGCTGCATCTGATCACTCAAGGATGGGGTGAAAACGCTTTGAAGAGTGCTAAAGGGGTGAGTCTGATCTGAATTCTTCTGTTACAAAAAAACCTATATCTATTAGTGGCAGGGCCACAACGGATCACACTGCATGTCTGACCACAGCCCTTGATAGTCCAAGGCAGTTTCTTGTATTCTTGGTCACCTATCAGAGGAGGAAGATGCCTTTATTGGGCTTCATGGGCTTCAGTGTAGATGGCCAGAGACATAAGTCCAGCTCAGAAGCAGTCATGTGACACAAGGGGCAAATAGACTCTCACTAGATCCTTTATGGCAGTCCAGAGCCACTGTGGCTTATCATTCAGTGTGCCACTCTGCCATAGATGTTTCTGAGTGTCCTTCTCTCAGTCACTTGCACTCAGCCTATCTTTAGCTTACATCATGATAGGATTATTGTTGTAGTTGTGAGAATAAAATGGAGGAGGGGGGGAACAATATTGAAAGCTGTTTCAGGTCCCCATGTCCACACACTTCTTGTTAGACTTGCTACAGAGGACCAGCTGGATGTAAGAATAAGTAAATAAACGCAGCTCACTTTGGCAGGCCCAGCTGTGACTGACATTTTAAATACGTTTGGCCAGTCTCAGCAAACTGGGAGATCATTTTTCACCCTGGGGCCTTTTGTGCCAGTCCCACAGCAGGAAACCTTGACCAGGAAGAACTTTTCTTATTTGTTGCTGCCGGTGAGACTCCTCCATCTCTGACAAAAGCTTAAAGGTGACCTGCAAAGCAAGGTGGGGGAGTTGAGCTCCTGCCATTTGTCATCTCTCTTAGGTGTCAAAGAGGGCTTCCTTTTCTCTTTCTGTTTCTCCAGTGAACGGGTCATTTCGTAAAAAAAGAGGTGCAGGAACTCATTAGCATAACTAATTAGCATAACTTATTTGCATATGCCATACCCCCTGACCTCACCGGAAGTGTGTCAGAAGGCAACACCCACCGCTCAGGCTCCACTGCACTGTTTTGGATTGCTAGCTATTTGGGAGGGGGACGTGCAGATCTGTCCTCACAGAGGAGGGAGAGCTTGTACCTGAATAAAACTTGGTCTTAAAGGTGCCACTGGACTGTTTGGGGCCAGGGGGGGCTCTGCAACTTACCTGGCTGCTTCTATGCTCTGATTGAGGGCTGCTGGGAGCAGGGGTCAGGGCTTGTTGCACGTGCCCGACATCTGGGCTCTTTACTGCCAGAGCTCCGCTCCTGTGCGCTCCCGCAGGAAATGACCCCTGCCAGTGAACAATGGAAGCTTTTGCTTACCCTGGAAGAACATGGATGTTGAAAGAGCTGGGAAGTTTCTGGTAGCCAGGATTCCCAGAAAAGAGCAAGTGCGATTGTTATGTGGCCTACTCTTTGAGGGGGAATCTCTTAAATGGAAATAGTAAGAAATGTCACCATCTTGATGGAAGGATTGAGAATGCTACGTTTCAGCATTAACCAACAAAATTATGTTAGGCACGGAGTTGTAAGGGAAACAGACATTCCAGATGTTACTGGATTCGATCGTACATTTCTCCAATCCAGTTATCCAGATGAACACAGATTTCTGGCCGCATTCATTCTGACAAGAGGGATTTGGCAGCCGTGTTCTCCTGCCTAGCCTTTGTGGACCTTAAGAAATTTCCATTCTGAACTTTGACAGATTCATTCAGCTTAATTCAGCCTTGTGAACTGTGCCTGCATTTAGATCGCTGTTATCAGATCTCAGAAGCTAAGCAGAGCTGGCCCTGGGTTAGTACTTGGTTGGGGGGGGGCCACACCAAGGAAGCTCAGGGTCGTGACGCAGAGGCAGGTCGTGGCCAACCACCTTTGAAAGTCTCTTGCCTCGAAAACCGTACATGGTTGCCATTATTTGGCTGCGACTGGATGGCCACTTCCTGCCACTGTAATACGTGAGGTCAGGATGCCCTCTTGAGAGTCAACCTTGCTGTGCTGGAATCCTGCCAAGCGACAAGTAAAGACGTCGTTGGGATGTTATGAGAATGCTTTGCTTACCAAAAGGGATTGGCTGCAGTAAGCGGCTGGAGAGTCTGAAAAATGATGCCAGAATCACGGCTTGGATTTAGCCACGCTTGTTCCTTTTCTTAGCTATCAAAAGACTTATTGCTTGGGGCCTGTTCTTATTTTTTCCGTCGAAGAGCTAATTCATATCCGAATTCTCCCCCTTTTCAGACAGGAAAAGACTAGCTTGTTTAAGGCGACTGCACAGCCGCCACCGGTTGGAAGCCCTGGCCCCTGAACTGCCACGTCTCCCCAAACATGTAAGCTGTAGCAGGGAGCCGATCTGCACACCGAAAGAATTGCACATGCAGATTTGGATTCTCCATTGGAGTTGAAAAGTATGCAGACGGAGAGCGATTTCAGCTAAGCATACCTTTATTTAGTTCCGGACAAAGACGAAGGGACCAGCTCGCAGGCTGGTTATATATGTTCAGAAAACCCGCCACCAAGTACACCTAAACACACCCCCTACTCCCGATAGGCTATTTACAGTAACCGGGCGACCATTGGTCTCCCGGCTGAGAAGCTGGCCCTTTGATTGGGCCGGCTAGGATCCTACGGACCCATTGTCTTTGGACATGAAGCTATTGAAGAGTTGTGCCTGGCCAGCCCGGGCAAGTCCGGGCATGTCAGGCTGAATACATTACAGGAGTGAATGAAGAACCCTTGAAGATCCACCCATGAGTGGGGTGCCCTGCACTAGAACAGATTGCCAGGCAG